TAGTGATACTGCCTCGGAAACCCAAGGAGGGGTTGCTATGAGTCGGGTCCGACTTGACGGCACATAACAACAACAACAACAATAGTTATTAAAACTTTTTGATATTCAATACATTCATAAAGCCTTCCTTTTGCATGACCTCCTTAAGAACAATACTGATAAAAAATTAATGGCAGATACTTTTCCCAAAGCTTTATACAAAATATTTGGTTTACTCCTCACAAAAACTCTATTAGGTAGGTATAATTATCACCACTTAAAGTAAACCGGGGAGCTCTGGTGGTATAGTGCCTATGGCATCTGACTGCTAACCAGAAGGCTGGCAGTTCAAACCCACCAGCCAGTCCTCATAAGGAAGCTGGGCAATCTACTTCCATAGAGATACCACCTCAGAAACCCAAGGAGGGGTCGTTATGAGTCAGAACTGACTTGACAGCAGTGAGTTTGGCTTGGTTTGGTAAGTAAACCGAAGGACAAGGATATTGCATCATTTGTTCAATACTATAGGGTCAGTATTGGTGGAACTGAGGCAATGTTAAGTAAGATATATACCATGGCTAAAGGCAAATTCATAAAATATTTTAATTCTCTAATAGCAATTCTCAGGAATTTAACATATTTTGGGTGGTAATAGAAGACTTTTATACATTCATATACTTTCAGCATGAATTCTCTAATGCTTAGTGAACACAAAGAATCCCACAATTTATTAGGTTTTCTTCTAGCATGAATTCTCTGATATTCCATAATGGAAGTGGCACATGAAGGTTTTCTGACATTAATTGTATCTCATTAAAACTGTCTAATATTGAGTCAGGTATGCACACCCTAACAGTCAAGGCTTTCTAACCTGTATGAATTCTGTAATGTTCAATGAGTTGTGAGCCAAGAATAAAGGCCTGCCCACATTCTCTACATTCATATGGTTTGATACCAGGATGAACTCTCTGATGTTCGGTAAGCTGTGAACTACGGATAAAGGCCATTCCACATTCTCTACACTCATAGGGTTTCTCATAAGTATGAATTCGCTGATGATGAGTCAGCTGTGAAACACGAATAAAGGCTTTCCCACATTCCTTACATTCATAGGGTTTATCACCTGTATGAATTCTTTGATGTTGAGTAAGGTATGAACTACGACTAAAGGCCTTTCCACACTCCTTACATTCATAGGGTCTGTCACCAGTATGAACTCTTTGATGTCTAGTCAGCTGTGCATGCTGTCTAAAGGCCTTCCCACATTCCTTACATTCATAGGGTTTCTCCCCAGAATGAATTCTTTGATGTCGAGTAACTTCTGAGCTATGAATAAAGCCCTTCCCGCATTCCTTACATTCATAGGGTTTCTCACCAGTATGGATCCTGTGATGTACAGTAAGCTGTGAATGCTGTCTAAAGGCTTTCCCACATTCTTTACATTGATAGGGTCTAGCACCTGTATGAATTCTCCGATGTACAGTAAGCTGTGAGCCACGAATAAAAGCCTTTCCACAGTCTTTACATACATAGGGCTTCTCACCTGTATGAGTTCTTTGATGTAGAGTGAGTTGTGACTGTTGTCTAAAGGTCTTTTCACACTCCTTACATTGATAGGGTTTGATATCAGTATGAAGTCTCTGATGTAGAGTAAGTTCAGTGGTACGACCAAAGGCCTTTCCACATTCTTTACAGTCATAAGGTTTCTCACCTGTATGAATTCTCTGGTGCTGAACAAGGTGTGAAGCGCGATGAAAGGCCTTCCCACATTCTTTACATTCAAAGAGTTTCTCCCCAATATGAGTACTCTGATGTTGAGTAAGGTGCGCACCACGACTAAATGCTTTCCCACATTCTTTACATTGAATCAGTTTCTCACCAGTCTTATTTCCATGATGCAGCATGAAGGGTGTGTGGTTCTCAAAAGTGGGAATGCTTTCGTAGGTGATTCTCACTGGCTTGAAATAGCACTCTTGATTTCTCTTAAACTGTCCTCTGCATTCCCAGGCTTCTCTGAAACTGGTACCTTCAAGACCAACATACTTAAGTCTTTCCATTATCTCCCAATTGAATGACTCTATTTCAAAAACATCTTTTTGTGGTAATTTTTCACACCTGGATTCCAAGTCTGAAAAGTAAGAAGAAGGTAAATACAAATGGTTCTCTTCCTTGAGAAATAAAAAATTATATAGTAGAATAGAGAGACAAAATGGAAATTATATAGTAGACAAAATAATCATAAACAGACAATGACTGGATAAGTCTCAAATATTACTGTTCAATTTTTAAAAATTATATGAAAATACAAGTATAATGAGAGCTCATAATGTGACAGAAGGGAGGAAAAAAGTAATTAAGTCAGGGGTTCTAAATTTTGATATGGATCAGATTACCGAAGAAACCTGTTAACAATATAAATGTCCAAGCAACATTCAGACTGAATCTCTATTTTTAAATATATGTGTGTGTGTGTGTATGTAAATACATACAAACATATATATATATATATATATATATATTTAAACAGGGGTAAAATTCATATTTATATGTCATGTAACATAACGTTGTACATTTAAAAGTGTCAGGCTTTTTGATAGCTGAGAAGTAGTCTCTTCTAGCATATTTATAATGTTGTGCAACCATTACCACTATCTATTTTCAGAACATTTTTTCATCCCAAATAGAAACCCCATGCCCTTTAAGAAGTCACTCTAAATTCTCACCTCCTCCCAGCCCCTGGAAACTACTAATCTGGTTTCTGTCCCTATGATTGTCTACTCTCGGCATTTCATATAAATAACGCATTTATATATTTTTAATTTTCCACCACATAATGCTTATGCTAATCAAAATAAAATCCCTGATTAAACTTTTTTGCTGCTTTCCTATTGCACTTCAAATAAATTCCAAACTCACCACCATGGCTCACAAGCCTGCAAAGGTTTCTGTTTGTCTTTTTTGTCACTCTGTTTTAAGCAAGCGCAATGCATATTGAGCATGCTTCTCCTTCCTCCCTATGCACTAAGTCACAGGAGTCCTTTGAGCATCCAGAATAAACCTAGGCTTTTTCCATCTTAGAGCTCTCCTCAGGCTTCCCCACCTGTCTCCTGATAGACCAGACCCTGTCCTGGTCTCTTTATATGGATATTCTTCTCATCCTTCAGGCCTAAGCTTAAAACTCACCTTTTCAAAAAAGCTCTCAGCCTGATGGCTCTAAGCATACACCTTTATTCTCTCTCCCACATTTTGTGCCCTGTCTTGATAATGCATTTATCAATTAGAATTAGATTTTCATTTACTTACTTATCTGTTAATCTATTTGTTTTCTTACTCCCAAATTTCCAAAGGCAGAAATAATGCCTTTCTTATTAACCATTGTAACCAACTTCTACCTTTCAACAATGGATTACTGAATGAATAAATATTGTATTCCACAGAGACAGACCAATAGAGCAGAAAAGAAAGACCAGAAAGACTGAAGATATATGGAAATTGAATATATATACTATAAAAGTGGAATCTCAAAAGAATTATCTTTGTAATAAATAATAGCCATTTGGAAAAAGCTTATCTTATTCCACCATATACAATAATAAACTCCAAATGGTGTTTTAAATGTTAAAAGAAAATGAAATCATACAAGTGCTGGAAAGAAACATGGTGGGTTCCATTTATAATGTAACTATGAGAAAATCTTCCTAACAATGATTCAAAGTCTAAAAGCAGCAAAAGACTGATAAATTCAACTCTGTAACGGTGAAAAATAAAATAAAACTTACAGATGGCTAAAAAATACCACAAGCAAAGTCACAAGACAAATGACAAACAGAAAATATTTGAAACTTGTATCACAGATAATGTAATAATCTTCTTGATTTGCAAAAAGCTCTTAAAAATTGAGAAGTAAAACCAACACAAATCTAATGCAAAAATGGGCAAAAACAGTTCATAGGAAGAAGTTAAACAAATGAAAAGATGCTCTACTTTCAGCTATCAAAAAGCCTAACAGACAACAGTCTCAATTGGTGAGACTGTGGGAAAATAAGCATTTGCTGGTGAGATTACAAGATGGCGTGCCTTTCAGTTTGGAATGATTTTGTCACAACGCTCAGAAGAACACAAAGGATTTTTTCCCTTCTAAGGGTATGTATAGGAGCTCTGGTGGCATAGTGCCTAAGGCATTTGACTGCTAACAAGAAGGCTTGTGGTTCAAACCCACCAGCCACTCCTCGGAAGGAAGGTTGGGCAATCTACTTCTGTAGTGATAGTGCCTCAGAAACCCAAGGGGGGTCGCTGTGAGTCGGATCTGACTCCACGGCAGTGGTTGTGTTGTTTGCGTAAGGTATGTATAGTTTCATTGGACAAAAAGATGTAGAAGACCCTGGAAAAGAACATGAACTAAGTGATTGTATATCAGGAGGATTGATGAGTAGTAACATGAACTCAAGAGAAAATAAAGCCATCTCAGTATTGTAGTTGAAAGGAGACAAAGAAAAGACAACCATTATCTTTACAAATAAGGGAATGAATGAATGGTTTTGGAGTTTCCCAGGCCCATGAATAATTAATTTTCCTGCCCTACTCAGTCATTCTTATCAGCATTTAAAAATTTCTGCCTTTCCCCAGAAAAACCTTCCTAGACATCTCCATCTGGTTACTTTGTTATTTCTCTACTTCAGCATGGTAACATTGTTCCAGAGAACTGTTTACACTCATTGTTCCCATATAGAAGCTCTGGTGGCATAGTGCCAAAGGCGTTTGACTGCTAACCAGAAGGCTGGCAGTTCAAACCTACCAGCCACTATTTGGAAGGAAGACTGAGCAATCTACTTCCGTAGAGATACTGACTCAGAAACCCAAGGAGGGGTTGCTATGCGGCAGAACCGACTCGATGACAGTGAGTTTTTATTTATTGATTTATTTATTCTGGTTATTGTTCCCATTGCTTCATCTACTGCTTTTTCTTTAAGCCTCTTCCAAAAGGCTTAAATAGTGCAATGAACCATTCCTGGCCAAAGTCATGAAAATCTTCTCTCATTATGAGAGGCTGAATAGCTCTTCACTTGCATAAGCATCAGTTTCCCAAATCTAACAAATGACTCTCAGCATTTGATCTAGCAGCATGCAACTGCTCCCCATGCTCAGTGTTCACTGTTCCCCACTCTCCTGATAATCCTCCTATCTCAATGACCATTCTTTCTTAGTCTCCTCACTTGCATCTTTCTTATCCTCAATGCACGTGTGCCCTGGGCTTAGTCCTTGGTCCTCTTCATTCCTAAGAGATCTCAACCACTTGTATGCACTCAAAAACCACTCACGTTCTGATGGTATAAACATTTCTATCTCCAGTCTGACTTTCTATCCTGGGCTCTAGGCTCATTCACTTTGCTGCCTACTTAACATCACCACTTGGATGGCTAACAGGAAGCTTAAAAATAATATGCCAGAAACAGAATTCTTATATTCCATTCCTTCTTATGGACCCAATCCTCCCTTATTTTAGCCCATCTCAGTATGGCTCAACATTTCACCAGGCTGCTCAAGTCCCCAAAACTTAGATCATTATTTATTCCTTTATTTCCTTCAATTACACACAGTAACAATTTAAGTGTAAACATTAATAGAACAGAAATACAGAGTATAATTTCAAAACCAACAGAAGGGAAAGATGGAAAAAGAAAAATCACCAATCTAAATGAATGCAAGGAAGGAGAAATAAATGATGACAGTACCAAGGTAACACAAAAGTTTGAGACAATTAAAAAATACACTATAGGATAGTAAAATTGTGTTGTGCTATCATCAGAAGCTGTCTAAATTCCCAAGGGACTATAACAATCAGGACCAGCACAAAGCTGGCTTCTTTGAGGTGGAGGTCATATATACCTGAGCTCTCCAATTTCTTCAGCATTTCTGATACCAGCCATCTCCTCCATAGCACCCTCTATGTCTCTGCTGGGTTCTATAATTCATTGCAATGGCCATAAAGAACTCACAGACCATACTCAGAGTTATGTGGTTTGTTAAGTAAGTAACAGGCTACAATTTGGGACCAGGATCAGAAGCCCTTATATGCAAAGTATAGAAGCCTCCCCTAAGGTGAAGGTCACATATATTCCTTCTTTTGTACAGAACATCTTCCAACCATGATAGCTCTCTCAGGCCCTTTTTGGGAGTGCTAGGAGGTAGGCTCTCCTCTTGGCTGTGAAAACTTCCTCTTGGCCCCCTCATGACAGGCCTTCTCTCAACTATGCATGCCTCCTCTTCGCTGTGCAGGCCTCCTCTTGGCTGTGCTAGCCTCTACTTGTCCATGTATATCACCTCTTGGCCATGCAGGCCTCTCTACCTGTGGCCTCTCTACTGCTAATTGGCCCAACTCATAGCCAGGGTAGTAAACTGCTCACTCTTTTAGCTGCTTTCCTAGCAGCAGCTTTCTACTATCACTGCCAACTCTGCTGCAGGACCCCTTTTGGATTCCCCACCATCTTCAGTGTTACAGCCCTTTAACTCGGTTAAAGCTCTTTGAGGAGATTTCTTGTCTCCTTGCTCTCTGCTTCTTCTCCTCTTCAAACCTCTCTGGAGTTGGCTGCTGGTATAAGCAAACTCCTTGTAAATTACAAGGCATGACCCTCCCAGCAGGACCACTAAATGACCAATCCCCTTGGTGAACTGAAAATTACTCAATTTGCATAGTAAACTGACAATTATCTGCAAAGCCATAAAATAGATCAATCACAGGATAGATTACAGCTCAGGACTAGACAAAGTGCATCAAATCATCATTGTTTAAAATTTACCCAGGAAATGTCAATCAATTTAGACTAAAGTAACAAACCTGTTAGGGTAGGAAACTAGGGCAAAGGTAACTCCTCAGAGTTTAGGGGAAACACTTCTCAAGTTATTTTTCCCAAGAACCAAGGCAAAAGGACACATACAGGAACCCATTTCACCACAAAAATAAAAATAAATTGAAATGTATCAATAATTATTTAAAATGTAAATGTATGGAACTACCTAATTAAATTACCGAATTTATCAGATGGATAAAATACCAAAATCCAGCTAGCAATACAGTGGTAACAAGTGACACAATTTACATAAAAACACAAGACGTTTGAAAGTAAAAGG